GCGATGCAGCCCTCTAGGGAGGTATGGACTCCCGGGGGGCTGCCTGCTCCACAAGGACCCCAGCCATCCGGTTCCCAGAGTCAGTGGCATCTTATTCATCTGCTGCTTCCCAGGAAAGGGCAGATATTCCCCCTGCTCCACCCCTGGGACACCCTGAGAGCAAGACAGCCATAAGCTGGGGAAGCCATTTCCACCAGCGTGGAGCTACCATCTGCCCCACCCTCCACCACTTCCCCATCCCCTGGCTCCTTCAGCCATGCACCACACCGTCCCAGCTCCCCCTGCAAGGCACCCACCCCACCTGGGCCATCTCCGTGCCTTTGCCGAGGCTTACCTGGTCCAGTGCGGTCAGGTCCCCTGCCCCAGGCACATCGGAGGAAGAAAGCTTTCCAGCTCCCCACCAAGGGAAGGCAGGGAGGCTGAGTGTCGACAGCCCGTACGGGTAGAAGTACCAAGCTCCTGGGCACACAGGAGGATAGGATGGTTAAAATGACAGGCCAGTAACAGGTCGCAGCAGGGGACAGGGTGGACGTGCAGAGGCTCAGCCATCAGCATTGCCTGGGGTTACCAGAGGCCCCAGCACAGGCATGCAGATGCCCCAGGGAAGCAGCAGCCACAGGCACTGAGCTCGGGGCCACCCCACCCCACCCCACCCCCTGGGTTACGGCAGCGGGATGCTCCATGCTGCCCCAGAGCTCAGGGCAACAGATCAAGCCAGGCAGACTCACCAAAGGCAGCAGCAGCGAGGAGGAGGAGGAGGAGCAGCAGCAGCAGGGACCTCTTCAGCCACGGGTAGCGCCTGGAGCATGGAGAAGAAAGAGGTACCTGTAGGACCGCAGCTACCTCCCCTCGCCACAGCGCTCCTCTGGGTGGGGGCCAGAGGGAAAGCAGAGCCCAGCAGGGTTTCAGCACAAGACACCCACCCCACTGGGCTCTGCGGGGCACCCCCTCTTCAGGGTCCTGCAGGTTTTCCCCAGTCCTCCCCCATCCCGGTGTCCCACCACCAGGCTCACCTGGAGATGGGGACACCGCCCAGGCGGGGAGCGGCGCTGGTGAGGCGGCGCCAGGCAGTCGCCAGCCCCGAGAACAGCCACCCCACGAACCGAACTGCCGGGAGAGAAACCAAGTCTCAGGCGGGGTCCCAGCAGAGATGTCCCCTCGTCCCCAAGGATGCTCCCATGGGGTGGAGGTGTTTTATCCCCCCATCAGGGAACAGCAGACACAGCACATGGGGAGGGGAGATGCTGGCAGAGAAGAAAGGCGTTGGTAAACCCCCCCCGGCAGCCCTCCACTCACCCGGGGAGGTGAGCACCTGCCAGAGGAAGGAGCCCATCCGGGAGGCTGCGGTCCTCAGCCCCGACCCAGAGCTACTCTGGCCGGAGTAAAAGTGACCTGGAAAGGAAGGAGTGAAGCAGTAAGTCACCAGATGGAGCCTTCATCCTTGTGCATTGCCCAGGGCAAAGGCTTTGCACAGGGCAGGCTGGCAGCACCCTGGGCATAGCCAAGGCCCTGGGCTGGTCCCCTCGGGGACATCTCCCCCAGCATCCTTGCCACGGCAGAGAGGCTGGTGCATCCCTACCGGAGTAGTCATCTTCTGAAGAGTACCCAGATGAAGAGGCATAGGTGTCATACGTCTTGCTCTCCAGCAGTCCATTGATCTTACTGGACTCGGTGTCCCCTGTGCCTCTTCTCCTCCTGGTGGAGAGCTCCCCACCTGCCCCAAAACCACAGAGTACCCCTGAGAAACCACCCACCACCATCCCCGCAGGGGGCAACCCAGTCAGCTGGCCTGGGGGGCTGCCCCAACACCCCCTCCCCAGTGCCCAGGGAGGGAGGGCTCACCCCAGTACATGCTGCTGTCCAGGGCATCGTCCAGCACAGAGGTGCCCAGGGCGGCGAGGCCCCGGCTGCCCCCCAGCCAGGACTCGCTCATCATGGTCTCGACGCTTTGTGCTGCTCGATTTCCTCCTGATGGTCCTGCTGGGGCAGGGGGGGGCGGGCTCATCAGCCACGCGTGGTTATGGCAGGGGTGAGGTCATGGTGCACGAGTGAGGGAGAAATGGGGAATTGACCCCCACCCTTCAGCTGGCTACGCTTCCCTTTGCCCGCCTCACCGTACCGGATGGTGGCAGGTTTCGGAGGGCTGCAGCCACTGCTTTGCGAAATGCCCTCCCCCCCGTCCCCAC